ACCATCAGTGCTTCATTAATATTTCTGACAGGCCACTAATTAACATGTTAGCACATACCTGTGTATTCAAAGCAGCTTTTAGGCCTGAGCTTACTACCCTTTACACTATTTCAGGGAAGGATTTGTATTGTATTCTGCGGTTTCAACTGTGCCAAGCAGCAATTGATAAGCAGCAACCATAACAATGATGGGAGCAGCAGGCATGATACCCCCTGCATAGATGAGAAAACTGATTCTCAGTATAAACTTACGCCACCCCAAAGATGCCCAGCAAATTTACCATTTATTGTCTGAGGTGGAAATCACCTTCCATGAGAGTGAAGGCCAAAGCTCCCCTGTAACTGACGATGACCAAGCCCTGCAAAGCCAAGAGTGGCAGGCTGGGGATTAGAACTCATGTCTTTGGCTCATGTTCACTCTCTGTGCAGCACCCTGGGACCTGCCCCCCTGAGAATGAACACCAACCTGAGCAACCCAGGTGTCCCCACTCTGACACAATAAGAACTGGACCCTCATCTGGTCCAGGTAGCCTCATCCTGGGGGATGCCTTTCTCCATTTGGACATTTTACTATGTATTTAGGGAGAGATGACAAACTGCAGAACAACTTATCAGGTTAATTATGCTTTTAAAAACATCACAGACAAGGAGCAAAGTGATGGGGAGGCTAAATGAGGAACTCGGTGGTGGCTGAGTCTGGCATTCTTTGCCCTTCTTCGAGTCTGCAGGTGGGCGTTTCTGCCCTTTCCTGGGCCTCTCCCTTCTGGACAACACGAGAGACAGATCACCTTAAAACACAGCCTTCATCCTGTACATGCCGAAGCCTTCAGTGGCTCCCCATCTTCTATCTTCTCACCTACAAACATCCTGTTCCACATACACTGGGTGATTCCCGCATGAGAGGAAGAAATGCTTCAGTGGTCTCGGCTGAGCCAGAAGGACTATTGCTCTTCCTCACCTCCCATCCTTCCTCACCTCCCTCCCATCCTCCCCTGTCTCCACCCTACTCCCTGCCCTGAGTCAATTCCTCACAGCCAAGTTCCAAACACTGACTGCACTCTGACCAGGAAGGGCAGAAAACTGCAGAGGAAATGATCCATGAATATGCACGGCATTTGCCTTTCCAACCTGCGGTCACCCTCTGGGCTCCTGTTTTGCTTCTAAAACAACTCTATGCCACAGAACTTCAACTACCACCAGGTCTTCAACATGCTGCGCTTAAGAAAACAACAGTAACAACTGTAAAACTGTCTCCCTTATCCCTGTAAAATGTTCTCTCGCTGCTTTTGTATATTCCAACCAACTGCGATTTGGACCATTGAGCCTGCCCTCTGGTATGCGTCACCGACCAACAAGGGATAAAGGGAATCTAGATGCATCTAGATCCCAGGCACTGTGCTAGGTGCCAAGCAAACACATGTGAATGAAACACAGTCTTTCAACTTCTATGAGCTCAGCAGAATGTGTGAATGGGAGGCTCCGGTGACTACAGTAATAGGCTCTGTGCCAAGTGACAAGGGAACCACATGGAGACTCCTGGCTGGGTTTGGGAGGAGAATAGTGGTCAAACCATAAAGGAGGGTGAATTTAAGATTTTTGAAAAGCTATAGTCCAAATTCTAAGACCGTAAAAGCTGAAAAATAGGCATGTTCTACGACCCAGTAAATCTACTCCTAAGAGTATATATTCAACAGAAATATGGGCACCAAGAAGAACATGCAAGAATATTCACGGCCACCCTATTCATAAGATCCCAAATGAGAAACCGCCCAAATGTCCATCAACAGGGAAATGGATAAGTAGGTTGTGGAATATTCTCACAATGGAATGAATGATCTATAACTACACACAATGTGGGTGAACCTCAAATATGTAATTTGAGCAAAAGGCAGACACAGAAGATTATATTCTATATAATTCTATGTATATGAAATACAAAATCAGACAAAACTAACCTATGGCATAGGACTCAGGAGAGTGGTCAGTATAGGGGAGGGAATCATGACGTGAAGAAGCCATGAGGAGCTTTGTGCTGTCATGCTCAGTTTCCTAATCTGGGTGTAGGTTACAATGGTGTGTTTAGTTTGTAAAAATATATAATGCTGGGCTGGCGGTGGTGGCTCATGCCTGTAATCCCAGCACTTTGGGAGGCCGAGGCGGGCAGATCACAAGATCAGGAAATCCAGACCATCCTGGCTAACACGGTGAAACCCCATCTCTACTAAAAATACAAAAAATTACCCAAGTGTGGTGGCACGTGCCTGTAGTCTCAGCTACTCGGGAGGCTGAGGCAGGAGAATCACTTGAACCCAGGAGGTGGGGATTGCAGTGAACCAAAATGGCACCACCGCACTCCAGCCTGGGCGACAGAGTAAGACTTTATCAAAAAAACACCAAAAAACAAAAAAACAAAAAACAAAACAAAACAAAAAACATAATGCTGGACATTGCAAATATGTGCACCTTCTGTGTGGACCTCAGACTTGAATAAAAAGAAAAAATTAAGTATGTTTATTGCCTTAGTCCATTCAGATTGCTATAATAAAATATCATAAACTGGATGATTTATAAACACCACATACTTATTTCTCACAGTTCTAGGGGCTGGCAAATCCAAGATCAAGGCACCAACAGATTGGGTGTCTGATGAGAACCCACTTTGTGGTTCATAGATGGCCATCTTTCACTGTGTCACCACATGGCAGAAGGGACAGGGAGCACTCTCAGGCCTCTATTATAAGGGCACTAATCCCAATCATCAGGGCTTCACCCATATGACCTAATTGCCTCCCAAAGATCCACTTCCTAGTACCATTATCTTGGGAGTGAGAATTTCAACATATGAGTTGTTGAGTGGACACAACATTCGGACTGTAACAGCTGTTTAGGTAGCTACACAGCTAAATAAGTATTATTTTCCAAATCACATTTCAACTGTTTCTCTACCATTAAGCCATGGGCCAGCAACGGAACCTGGCTTATCCTTCTTGTGTTCTTCCTTTCTTGGCACAAATATGGTGGGTCATCTTCCCAAACAGTAACCTCCCTGGTATAGTTCATTTGGCCTGGTAGGTTGTAGTCAAACAATCACTGTATTCACTTATAAATGCTCTCAAACTGGTCCAAGGTCTAATCAAAGCTGGAAATTGATCAAATAATGACTCATTCATGCATTCTAGAATTCAGCCATTCCCTGCTGCTTTTTTAGAAATTAGCATAATTTTCTATTATTTACACGTTCTAGAGAACTATATCATAGACCCCTGCATCATGGAACACCCAGATCCCTGGTCTCCATCTCATTCTCCCTGCTTTCTCAAAGATGATCCATACACAATTCTATTTCCCAGACTATATAATGTAATCCACTTTATGTAACATAGTATAATTCACTTGGCCCTGGTCTCTCAGTTCTTTTGAAGAAATGAATGTTCTCACACTAATTCCTTGGCCTGTTTGATCTTTACAGGCAGGAAAGGGGGATGCGAGGCAGGATTGGGTCAGCTCCACATTCTCCACATCTGCTCATTGTTTTCTTGCCTTGTTTCAGCTTCCAGAGCTCCTCCCTGCTTCTCCAGCAATTTCAGTCTTCCACACTCCTCTGTGCCTTTGTAAACAGCCTTTTGTTCACTAACAAGAGGAATCTGCAGCCACGTCAGCTCTAAACCAACCTCCCACCATTCTCTGGGTAAAGTCCTACTCAGAAAGAGAATAGGAGGAAGAGGGATGGAGGGGGCTGGAGATGATTGTGTCTGGTGGGAACAGGCAGGGGGACAGTACACAGAGTTCAGAATGGGACAACGAGCCCGCCAAGGCTGCTCTGCCAGCCTGGCTGGGTGACCTTGAGCCTATCTGGGCCCGTGACCTCACCATTCAAAGGAGCTGGACCAGAGAATTCTGAGTCCTTTCTAGCTCTAAACACTCTGGCCCTAAGCATCTATATGTTAAACAAAATTGTCCTAACGTTTGTCTCTGGGTACTGAAATATTAGGAGATTTTTATTTTTTCATCTCCATTTTGCAAACAGTCTGTTAAGATTACACTACTGTGTTTCTGTTTTGTGTGTATTCAGAAGCACAAAAAGGCTGTGGTTCTAGAAAGGAAATAGAAAAGTTCTTTAAAAACAAAGAAGTGGGGAAATGAAACAAATGTTAAAAGCAGAAGAGAAAGAAAGGCCCAACTGGAGGCCCCAAATCCACCCAGAGCCCTGAAGCCCGGGTTTCCCACCGACAGGCAGCAGTCTTTGTCCGCTCTCTGGCGCCCTCTGCTGGCCTTCTTGGTAACAACAGTTTAATTTGGTTTGCAAAAGTGCTCTGACTCGAAGCCACTGTGAACACTGACGGGATTCACGTTCAGCATAAAAATCGCTTTCTGTTTACAGGAAAATCTTGCCCCATACTTTCCTCCATAATTCACTTTTAACTTTGCCTTGCAGTACTAATTGTATTGACCTTTGGGATAATTCAGTCCTTCAAGCATTCCCGGTCCAACATGCCAGGAAGTCTTCTCACGTGTCTTCCACTCCATACCTACCAGTCCTGTTTCCCCATTATCCGATGAAAGTGTGATCCCCCACCCCGCGCCATACACACACACACACACCCCGTTGGTCCCACCGTCGGGGCGTGGTGGTCCAGGTGAACGCTTGCCTTCTTTTTGAGCTAAACCTCCCCCACAGAGGCTGTCAGCAAAGACTCCTTTGCTGTCCGAGGCTGGCCTTTAGGTGCAGGACACTATGCATGTCCAGCGAGGCTTGTTGAAGCCACATCTGTCATAGATATTGATGGGAAAAGCATTTTCCTTCTAACATGCCTAATTCCAATTCTAAAAGGCACCTCTCAAGTCTTGCTGAACTTCATCAAGATTTTCACATAGTTTCCTTAGTAAAGTGTGATGAGAAGGTCCACCCTTCTTAAGATGAAGGAGTGGTCCAGGAAGCCCTGATTGGTCCTGCCAGGGAGGGAAGGGCTGCCTTATTTGGAGACCTGCAGGAATGCAGCTCCTATATAGCCGGGCGGACCTGGCTGCCAAGAGGGTGTGCTGGGGGACTGTGCAGCTCGAGGCTCCAGAGGCACGCTCCAGAGAGAGCCAAGGTACGTGAAGGGCCACTTCTGTGGTCAGGGTTGCTGGTTGCTTATCAAGGCTTTACTCCGGACTGAAAATCATGCAAGGATTTCCTTACTCCCACATCGGGGATCGGTCCCAAGTTCAGGGGAGACTTGCGAGGATACTCAGTCACCACCGGGCTTGCCTTTCTATAAGCTGGTGCTATAATAAAATGCTACTTTAGGTTTGTTGGTTGGGATTTTTGTTTTGCCTTTAAGCCTCTGCCTATGAAAATTAATTTCTTTCTCAAGAATGCTGTGCTTTTATTTTTTTTATTTGACTCACCTGAAATGATCTATTATATCATTATTCTTATTTAAGATTACTCCTTAAAAAAGGAATGAAATGGAGTATGGCCCGCTATTTAGGAGACTAATGAATGTTTGCTTTGTGCTTGGATCTCTTTGGAGAAAGCCAGTCTGAGCTGACTGTGCTCAGGGGGCAGAGAGAGTGGGGTGAGGGGGCCCAGGTGCTCATGAACACCCTGGGACAGAGACGAGGCGATGTCTCCGAGCAAGGAAGGGTCGGCGAGGCCTCTTCGCAGGCTTCTAGAGATGACTGGGTGTGCTTCTAGAGGTCACTTCAGCTGTGTTTTGCCTTTTTTTTTTTTTTAATATAAGGACCAATGTGGCATCAGAGTTGAACGTTTTAACAGAGGAACATTAGCCACTTTTAGGGATGCTGCAGAGGGGGCGGTGGAGGGTGTGTGAGGGGCTAAACAAGCTCCCTGTCCGCCTCCTCCAGCTCTGGGGCCCCGCGGCCTCACAGTAAATCTTCGCCTAGGAGACAGCTTAGGCAAGCTCCGCTCTGGGAACTCTTTCCGTTTCCCTGATCCACACAGACAAAGACCCAGGTGCTGGAATGCCCTGACAGTTGGCCTTGGGAAGTGGATTTCCCGGTGGCTATTGTAGTTTCAGGAGCCGAATGTGACAGGCAACCTCGAGGGGTGGGGTGAAGGGTTTTCCATGACATCAGTGGCAGCGTTCGGATGTCCCAGGGCCACCTTGACCCAGGACCCTCCTGGTGTTCCCCCAGGCCCTCCTGTCTTCCCTTTCATCTCGTTTTCTCCAAAATTCCTCAAGGGCTCTGCCCTTTGCCCTTTGCCCAGCTCAGGGGGCATCAGGCCCAGTGAGTGAAAAGCACAGTGTGTGAGCACTCTCTTCTCCCGAAACCCAGATGGGCAGTGGGGCATGGCTAGTGGACACATGCAGTGCAGCATTAGACTGAGCCCAGTGCGGGTCTGCCACCTCCCCCCTGTGCAGCCTTGGGTAAATTACTTAACTTCTCTGAATCCCAGGACAACATTTATAACATGGGGATAATAATGCACCTACCTCATGTGAGAATTAAGTTAGGCAATGTCATAGAAGGGCTTAACACAGTGGCAGGCATGAAGAAAGTATGTAACAAAAAGCCAGTAGGATAAGCAGATGGTCACGCTGTCCCCCAGGCGTGAGATTGGAAATGATGCCTGGAGCGCACTTGACCCCTGGACATAGGGGAGACAGGGGTCCCTTTACTACGTTTCCGTCTTTCCCTCTCCCCCACCTTCCTCCTCCTCTCTCTCTCATTACTGCAAAGGCCTTTAGGATCAGCAGCCAGTGAATTCCTCAGAATGGATGGAAGAATGCACCCAAGACAGTGCCAGCTCACAGCAATAAAGAACAAAGAGGGGATATTAAAAGTACAATCTAAAATCAGGCACCGTGGCTCGTGCCTGTAATCCCAGCACTTTGGGAGGCTGAGGTGGGAGGATCACTTGAGCCTGGGCAACATAGTGAGACCCGTTTCTACAAAATATATTTGAAAATTGGCTGGGTGTGGTAGTGTGCGCCTGCAATCCCAGCTACTCTGGAGGCTGAGGCAAGAGGATTGCTTGAGCCCAGGAGTTCAGTGCTGCAGTGAGCTATGATCATGCCACTGCACTCCAGCCTGGGGCCTGGGCAACAGAGTGAGATCCAGATTCTGTCTCTAAAATATGCGTGTATATATATATGTATATGCATATATACATACACACACACACACACACACACACACATAGTCCATGCCCACAAGCATTTGATTCCAACTCTTCTATTGTATTTTCCTCCCAGGGATTTCTTGATTTGAAAGACTTGGGAGTATCAAAGAAAACTTACATGTATTAAGTCACCACTCCTTTATTTCCCATGCATATTCAAAGCCTCTGTAATTGCCCTTTGCCGTGCTTGTCTGTCTAGGAAAACCAGGACCAGGGCCCTAAGTGAATGTAATCCTAGCAATAGCAAAGGAGCTCAGTGTTCGAGTTAACCTTGCACAGCCCAAACATGGGGAAACAATTATGCTTTTGAGACCACATAAATAGCACAAGGATGCAATTCCTTCCTTAAAGTCTCCTGCACTCGGGAGGGGGCAGGGGAGCCCGGGGAGCCTGGTTGGGAGCTGATCCCTGCTGTTTCTCTGGCAGGTTCTTACACGATGAGGCAGCACCTGAGCCGGTGGTGGCTGGCCACTGTCTGCATGCTGCTCCTCAGCCACCTCTCCGTGGTCCAGGCCAGGGGCATTAAGCACAGAATCAAGTGGAACCGGAAGGCCCTGCCCAGTACTGCCCAGATCACGGAGGCCCAGGTGGCTGAGAACCGCCCGGGAGCCTTCATCAAGCAAGGCCGCAAGCTCAACATCGACTTCGGAGCCGAAGGTAACAGGTACTACGAGGCCAACTACTGGCAGTTCCCCGATGGCATCCACTACGACGGCTGCTCCGAGGCCAACGTGACCAAGGAGGTATTTGTCACCGGCTGTATCAACGCCACCCAGGCGGAAAACCAGGGGGAGTTCCAGAAGCCGGACAACAAGCTCCACCAGCGGGTCCTCTGGCGGCTGGTCCAGGAGCTCTGCTCCCTCAAGCGCTGCGAGTTTTGGTTGGAGAGGGGCGCGGGACTTCGGGTCACCATGCACCAGCCAGTGCTCCTCTGCCTGCCGGCTTTCGTCTGGCTCATGGTGAAATAAGCTTGCCAGGAGGCTGGTAGTGCAGAGCGCAGCAGCAAGCAAATCCCCGCAAGTGACCCAGCTCTTCTCCCCCAAACCCAGGCATGTTCTGAAGGTGCCCAGGAGCGGCGATGCACTCGCACTGCAAATGCCGCTCCCACATATGCGCCCTGGTATGTGCCTGTGTTCTGATAGATGGGGGACTGTGGCTTCTCCATCACTCCATTCTCAGCCCCTAGCAGAGCGTCTCTATCACTCCATTCTTAGCCCCTAGCAGAGCATCTTATTTCAAAAGAAGGGTAAGTGCTTGCTATTCCCTTCCCTGAATACATTACTACTACTAGATTAGTAGTAATTGCTTGATGAGAAGAACACGTCAGGCACTGCGCCACCTGCTTCACCGCACTTCCCAACAACTCTTAAAAGTAGGTGTATTCCCATTTTACAGATAAGGAAACTGAGGCTCAGAGAGCTGAAGTAGTGCACCCAGCATCACCAGCTAGAAAGTGGCAGAGCCAGGATTCAACCCTGGCTTGTCTAACCCCAGGTTTTCTGCTCTGTCCAATTCCAGAGCTGTCTCGTGATCACTTTATGGCTCACAGGGACCCACATCCAAACGTGTATCTCTAATGAAATTGTGGAAGCTCCATGTTTAGAAATAAATGAAAACACCTGAGCTGGTGGCTGTGTACTTTGGTACATGGAGGCTATTTTAATCCTTCTAACTAAACTAAAATAGAATAAAGAAATTAAACTAAAATAGAAGTAAAGCTAGACAAAGGCCCAGAAATCATATTGTAAGGAAATATTGGAAGCTGATTCCCAGAGCAGACCACATATACAGCAGGATATGTCTGTGGCATGAATATGTTCTTTCTCTTTTTCTTTTCTTTCTTTTCTTTTTTTTTTTTTTTTTTTTTTTTTTTTTTTGAGGTGGAGTTTTACTCTTGTCCCCCAGGTTGGAGTGCAATGGCACAATCTCGGCTCACTGCAACTTCTGCCTCCCAGGTTCAAGCACTTTTCGTGCCTCAGCCTCCCGAGTAGCTGGGATTACAGGTGCGTGCTATCATGCCTGGCTAATTTTGTATTTTTAGTAGAGACTGGGTTTCACCATGTTGGCCAGGCTGGTCTCGAACTCCTGATCTCAGGTGATCTACCCACCTGGGCCTCCCATAGTGCTGGGATTAGATTTTTTTTTTTTTTTTTCAAAAGAAGGGTAAGTGTTTGCTGTTCCCATCCCTGAAACATTGCATATATTTAAGAAAAAAAAGAAATTTTAATGGCATATTTGCTTCTAATGTCCCCTAAACCTACGTGCATGTTTTATGTGCACCCATACAAGTATCTTTAAATATAATCCCTTTATATCTGTGTTCTGTGCAAAGTCTCTCAGTTCTTTCAAGACAGCCTGGTGAAGGCCATCATCTCTGTAAACCACTTAGCACTACAAAAATCCAATTACTCACCAAAAAGGTTAAAAAAGAAACAAAACTGTGTCTTTAGGGAGACCCAATAAAGAATCCAATCCATGCCATAAGCAGGAATTGATACACCACCTTATTAGCTAAAAATATATATAACAAAATATGAATAATGTTTAAAATCTGTTTTAAATTTAAAACAATGAATTGAATGCTCTAAGAGGCTCCTACAGGCACTCTAGGCCACTCTCAGAGACTCCCAGGAGGAGTTGAACTATAGAGAAAACAGCCACTGAATATTATCAATTCTCCTTTAAAGAGAGTTTGTAAGGGGGGAACATGCATTTTATCAGACAGTTGATCCAAAGCATTTCAGAACATGAGTGCTGATGAGGGCATCTCTTGTGCTGAGTCCCCTCGGCTATCAGTGTTCTTCTCAAGGACACATTTGGAAGGTTTTAACATTGAAAGTGAGCGGAGGACTTGGGGGCAGAGCAGCACAAAGAAACAGCCTTACACTGGGCACATGGAGGAGACGTCCACCCTGCAGCCAGGACTGGGGTTCACGCTGCTGCCAGCACTACACTCGCCTTCTGATTCCACAGTCCTGTTAATTCTAGATCAGAGAGCAAGAAAAAAGTACAGAACATATCCTCTAAGCTTATTTCCTGCTTTCTAATTTAAAAAATAACAACAATGGCAAGAGAGAAAGAAAGAAAAAGTACTCAGAGGCTGACACTGACATTTCACTTCCTCGCTCTCCTAAGTTTAATTACAACAGCACGTGCAGCCACGTCAGCCAAATGACTTCATTTCTGATGTGAAAACGCTTAGGCCATGATGTCGTTCATTTTCTGTAATTGCTGTCTTTTCTCATTCTGTTAATAGTCCCAGCAACCAGACTTCAGTGGGGCGTGACGTGAATGTATACATGGTGATTCAAATGCAAAATTTGTTTATGGAGCTTTTAATCAAAAGCGTGTGTGCTTGAACATTCTTGCTCAAGTAGATGAATCATGGGGTGGAATAAAGGCTTAGTGAACCTGGTTTTTCACTTTAGCAAAGAGGCATGGAGTGCCTACTATGTGCAAGACATTGGGAGGGGCTTCGGAATTTTTCTGGATATCGTCATTTTGCAGTGTGAATAATTTTGCCAACCATTGCTTTCTCAGCCCCTGCTAAGTGTTGACTTTTTAAAATATAAGTTTATTGTAAAAGTGACATGAAAATTACAACAGATATTCCAAACCAAAATAATACAATGATCCCAGCATCTGATTGGGTCAGTGTTTGCTGCTTCCCCTGTACTTTCCTAGTTTTTAACCATTTGCATATATAAACTTTCATATGCGCAATAAAAAGGTGTGGTTTTATATTCTAAATTTTTACTTAACTTCATTCAATGCTTTTTACTCATTTTTCTATACCTTTTTTTTTTTTTTTTGAGGCGGAGTCTCATTCTGTTGCCCAGGCTGGAGTACAGTAGCATGATCTTGGCTCACTGCAACCTCCGCCTCCCAGGTTTAAGCAATTCTCATGCCTCAGCCTCCCAAGTAACTGGGATTACAGGTGCCCACCACCAAGCTCAGAAATATTGTTTTTGTGTTTTTGGTAGAGACAGTGTTTTGCCGTGTAGGCCAGTCTGGTCTCGAACTCCTGACATCAGGTGATCCACCCACCTCGGCCTCCCAAAGTGCTGGGATTGCAGGGGTGAGCCACCATGCCCTGCTTACTCTTTGTTTTCTTTCCTTCCCACCCATCGTCCCCAGTCCCGCCCCCTCCTTCCAGCCTCCACCTTAACTGTGCTCAGATACATAAGTGAGGGTTTTTTAACTTGATTATGCTTTTAAAAGTACTATGTTTGTAAAATATTTATTCATCTGCAATTTGGCTTACCTAACTTAACATTGCCTCATGAAACTCTTTGGAACAACAGCTATCTAGGTAGCTGGCTCATGCTTTTGGATTGCTACATAATCTCACTTAATACAGATGTATGGATTGATTGAATCATTGCCTGTTGATGGGCCTTCAGATTACTTCCAGTTTTTTGCCACTGCAAACAATAAACATCCTTGTACATACTACACTGCAGTCTGGTAGTTTTGTTTCTGTGGAATAGATTCACACGTGCAAATTTTCTGGAACAAAGCCCGTGTGTAATTTAAATTTTACCAGCCGTGACCGGGTTATGTTCGCACATAGCTGGAGCAAATCCTATTCCCACCGGCTGTTTATGGCATTAATTTGGAACAGTTTCTGTCATCTAAGCATGAGAAGCCACCTTTTCTACAAATGTTGCCTAAGCATCTTCTCTCTTTTGCAAATGGCACACCTAAATCTCTCTAAAACTTTTGGCCATGAGGACCGTTTGAAAATCCTCCTAAAACTGTTAGCAATTCTCATTCTAAACCTGGTCCTTGGCCCAAAACATCTGCCTGAGAAGCCTGGAAAACAGGCAGTGAGTGGACGGGCTTCCAACTCAGAGGGTGGTGTATCTGCACAGCTCCACACACCCCAGCCACTGGGAAGGCTTGAGGTGAGCTTATGCCCTGGCCTTTTTACTGACTTTTACTAAAATTACACATGCAAGTATTTGCATTCCAGCCAGAATACCCTCTAGATCCAAAAGCTCAAAAGGAGCAGAGAATTGAGAACACTATTAAAGCAGCCCATGCTGTTCCTCCCCTCCAGGCTCTGGCAGACAATCAGCGTTTTCCTGGAGCCCCTCACACCCCACCTTGCTTAAGATATGCCTGACAGTGTCTAGAAACTCCACCCTCTGGTCCTAATAGGGTGTCCCGAGCAGTGGCCTTAAGTTTGTCTTGAGCTGCCCGCACTCTCTACCTCAAGCTTTCTGACAACAAGTGACTGGATTGGGGTGGTGGCTGACTGGGTCAAGGACTCCAGGCCCTACATGGTACCTATGATGTGGTCACATCTTGTTCCTTCACCCAAGACTTTTTTCATCATGGCTGGAGATGGATGGACACGTGTACCCTAAGCTGTCTCTGTGATGGTGCATGGCACATCCACATCCTGAGTCTACCAGGGTGTCTACTGAAATGTGGCAGCAGGGCTCGTGTGCCCTCGTGTAACCAGCACTGTCACAGACCACACCTGCCAGGCGAGTGATCAAGAAGACTTACACAGACTTGGCATCATGACCAGTTTCAGTTTTTCCAGCTCAGACACTGCCCTGCTGAGGAACAGACCTCTTGGTGAGCCTGGCTCAGACCAGAGGCTAAGAGTTTGCTGTCTACCCGGAGACCACGAGTCAGAGAGGAGCGAGGGCCTCCTCATCCCTTATCCTCAGTGCTGGCAGAGGACCCCACTTCAGTGGGCATCCAGCTTCCCCAGTGGAAGAAAAAGGAGCCCAACCCTCATGCCTCTGGGAATGCATCCCTACAAAATGGGAATAGCTCAGATATTTCCTGCAAAAATGAGACTAAAATACTATGCCTTTGAGAAATCTCAAAGCACATTCCAGATCATCCAAAGACTGCCCCGGAAAAATAGACTCAGCTGTTTCCTTTGGCAAATGGGAGACTTCCCCTGGACCCGTGGCTTTAGGGAGCCTCACTTTGGAGCAGGAGCATGCATGGGGAAGCAACCGAGATTCCACCCCCAGAGCACTAAAGCCCCAAGGCCTCCCTCCCACACTGAGCCCCAGACCCCAAATAGAGGGTGGGAGAATCTGTTCCTCTGGTGTTGGGTGAGAGGCTTCAGACTGAAATGAGCCCCATGCACTGACCATGCCCCTTCTAAAGGGACCTTCCTGGTCAGCACAAAGCCGACCCCCAAAAAGAGCTTGTCCTCCAATACTCAAGTGTCATCCCTGTACCCTGGACTGAACTGTAATGAGCACACAAATTCCCTGGAATCTTGGTAAAATGCACCTTCTGCTTCAGCAGATTTGGAGTGGATCAGATTCTACATTCCTTTCCTTTTCTTTTTCTTTCTTTTTTTTTTTTTTTTTTTTTTTTGAGACAGAGTTTCACCCTTGTTTCCCAGGCTGGAGTGCAATGGCGTGACCTCAGATCACTGTAACCTCTGCCTCCCAGGTTCAAGCGATTCTCCTGCCTCAGCCTCCCGAGTAGCTGGGATTATAGGCATGCGCCACCACGCCTGGCTAATTTTGTATTTTTAGTAGAGATGGGGTCTCTCCATTTTGGTCGGCCTGGTCTGGAACTCCGGACCTCAAGTGACCCGCCTGCCTCGGCCTCCCAAAGTCCTGGGATTACAGGCATGAGCC